TTCCCAATTACGACCTCCCTGATTTGACCTTCTGTCGGGACGCATTTCCTCCGTGTTTCTGCTCGAGACAAGGAGAGGGCGTATGAGAGGAAACCACGTGCTTTACAGCGCAAGCACCTCCAGGGCTGTTCCACTCAGAATATCGTTCGTGAAGTAAAGGGATTCGACTCTCGTCTCATTCACTGCTTGGTAACGACGCTGTATCGACTGTTGAGTTCATATAGCGCCGTCTGTCATACGGTTTTCTATGGCTTTTATTCGTGTTGCCTATCATGGCCAACGCGAGGCGTCCCAAACACTTCGTTTCTAAAGACATAACGCCGTAGAATCCTTTGGAAGGCACCTGTCACCTGCGTTCACTCTGGGTTCTTCCTATGTTTATTCTTCGGCCCCGAAGATGGAAGCGACAACCGTGGTTTCTTTGGCTCAGGAAAAGAACCATCAGTTAGGAGGCCAGGTGAATCCCAGAGCTTTCTGTGACCCGGTGGTGAAGAGACAAATCCATTGCCCTTGCAGAAATCCAACCCCATAATACAGTCGTCTAGTTTTTGTTCCGGTCACTATATCTACTAACTTGCATTCCTGTGGAACAGCTAGACATTAGAATTTGTGAATTTGGGGAGACGCGGAACTTAGATGCCGTGCCCTATTTTAGGCATTATTCTGATATTATTCTGGTGGAACTGAGGAAAAACTCATGAGAAACCTGTCCAAGACTGGGTTTCGTGACCTCCGTATCGGTCTTCTACGAAAATCGGTCGGTCAGGGAATTGCATAACACGTAACACGAATCACATCCAAACCATTTATAACGCAAACGTTTCTTAAATGTGTTTTGATGACTGTGTGTAAATAATTAGGCCTGCCGAAAGTATTAGCTAGCCATACAGATATATAATGTAAAATAATAGCTAACCGCCGTGTGTAATTATGTGGTAGCTACTCACTTGTTTCAGCCTGCAGAAATGGACGACACAGTAAATTTAAAATGGAATAGTGATTTGAAAGAGACCACGAGATGGGGGAGTAGAGATTTTCGATCTGAAGAAATCGGGGGTATGTCGAGTGAACGAAAGTCATTAATCACTCAACTAATCATATTTTCGCAAAAGTTGAATTACATGTAATTATTCTGTTGCAATTGTTTAACTTAACGCCCATATATTTATCGTCTGTCAGTATGGCAACACTTTTTATTCACTACTTAATTTTAATTTTAGTTTAATATTATACACTTTGACATTACATGTTTCGGCCCCAAACGGCCATCTTCAGGTGTCTTGATAGTAGTAGAACTAGTAGAGAAAACACCACGCGCTGTAGAGGAAACACGCAAAACAGGGGTACGTGGCAGTCATAACTGAAAAGTAGGCTAAGTAATGTGAGAGGCAAGCTGCCGAAACAAAACACCCTGGACAGCCATACATTTATGAAAATGGACGACACCCCGTGTGAGGTGAAGTAAAACGCACCAAAGTAACGTGGCTATAATAGAAACTTTAAAGGATTTTATCTGGCTTTACCTTGAAAAGAGAACTACAGCGTGTGATTTTAACACGGACTAAGACTGTGTAGCAGTTTTAACACAGTTTAATAAAATATTTGTAACATATCAAGACACCTGAAGATGACCGTTTGTTGCCGAAACATGTAGTGTCAGAGTGTATAATGTTAAACTAAAATTAAAATTAAGTAGTAAATAAACAAGTCTTGAAATATTGACGGATGATAAATACATGTAATTACATAACTATTAAAAAAACTGAAAGTAAAATTATTTTGATGGGGACATTGATTATTTGTTGTTACAACACAGCACCCATCCATTCGCTTCCATAATGCATGAACGTGTAAGTTTCTGTCGAGGACAACACTTTTTATGATCTATATCATCTGCCAGAATTTAGCAGTTTATCTCGATATGGACGAAGAGAAAGAAGAAAAGAATGGGAGGAGAAAACAGAAGAAGAAAGAAGAAATGTGGAAGACAAATGCTGCACTTCTGTTGTTTATGAAATATTAACTAAACATTCACTTCTACTCTTTACTTGCGTTTAAAATGTGATATGAGATATGTTTACCCACCTTCGGAATCCATCTGAAATCTGAGTACCTCGAAAGATCTTATGCATCCGAAGATATGAAAAACCGGGATCCATATTGTATGGGGTCTGTTTGGCCCTCCGGCCCTCTATATCCATTCCGGTTAACGTGCCGGAGGGAGAGAATTTTCATGAATGGTGTTGCAAGGAGATTCATGGAACTAGGTGACGCAGTATTTCAGAACGATGGACCTCACTAGTACATTGTAATATGCATATATTTCTTCTTTGCCGGCCACGGTAGCCAAGCGGTCTAAGGCATGAACTGTCTTCGCTCGCTTGGGAAGTCTAGTTCTTGAGTTCGAATCACACATGGTATGAATATTTGGTATGTGTATATGTTTATTCTGTGTTTAGGTAGCAGGCTTGCGACGAGCTGATCACTCTTCCAAGGAATCCTACCGTCTGTAAAATGATCATGACACTGGAAAAATCAGAGGCCAGGGCCCAAGGGGGCTGTAGAGCCAGCGAAAAAAAGATCTTTTGTTCAATGGGGTCTTGTCAGTGACACATATAATACGACGCTGAATAGCAGGAAGGTTTTAATGAAAAATAATGTGAATAGAGTCGATCGTGGTCTATTTTAAATCACAGTCACGATGTGTGAACATAAGGACTAAGTAGGATAACGAGACAATTAGTAGAACGAATTTCCAGATCAAGATTCGAAACGGGCACATACCAGATACCGAGCAAATTGAGGTCAGATCTAGACCAAAATTTTATGGTACGAAGAACGTCTGCAGGTACTGAGATAGAACAGTTGAATCAACTGGGCTTGTAATTAAGAAATGGGCTGATTGCGGGCCTATCAGAAGATAATCTGTCATGCCACTAAGTCTCAGAATATATCATCATCATCATCATCATCATCATCATCATCAGTAATCTGTCAGACGACAGGCCCACAATCTCTTCCAAAACAGTTCCTCCATTTAATGCGATCCAGAGCTTTCTCCTTCAAATGACAATATCCTCTTCTGCCCCCAAGGTCATCCAGCATCTTCTTACGTCTTCTTCCTCCTCTTTTTGTCACTTCTATTCGCCCCTCTATCTTTCCTTCAATAACTTTTTTTAGAAGGCAGTTTCTGCGTAAAACATGACCAATCCAATTAGTCCTCCGTTTTCTTATTTCATGTAGGATATTCCTCTGCTCACTGACTCTAATTAACACTTCTTCATTTCTCACATAATCGGTCCAACTGATCTTCTCCATCCTTCTCCAACTCCACATTTCGAAACTTTCCAGATATTTCTGATCTACTGCCCTAAGTGTCCATGTTTCAGCCCCATACAGAGCTATGCTCCAAATGCAGCGTTTCACTAGTTTCTTCCTCAAATTTAAGTCCAATTTGCTGGTAAAAAGATTCTTCTTCTTGCTAAATGCAGCTTTTGCAATGGAAATCCTGGATTAAGAATACACCGATTAAAAAATATATATATATATATATATATATTGCGTGACAAGTTACTAATAGCACGAACCTGCAGGATTGCTGTAACCTAATCAAGATATTTAACTACAGTCCTCTGTGTTTGTATCTCGAAGGTTTCGGGTCAACTCTCGGGCGAATTACCAGCTATCCTAATTGAGGTTCCTAGTGGTTCTCGTCTGTCCCTCCAAAAGAATGCTGGACAATACCTTCATAAAGTCTTCTACTGCCTTCTTCCAAATATTTAACCCAGTCTCCATTCATGGCCTTTCCATACATGGCTCAAAGATCGTTGGTCAATACATTATGTATTTGAGACAGCGTCCTTATAAAATTTAGGTGTCGATAATATAAACGTTTCTACCTCGATTCAATCTAAAGGGGCAAAATAACTGTGCAGTATGTCGTTGTTCTGTTCATAAATCAGTGGCAGGTGCGTCAGAGGCTAGGTCTGCTCCATTCAAATTGGCAAATGTTAGGAGGACCCGTGGTGAAATGAACATTCACGTGATCTGTAGCGAAGCGTAAGCACGAATTGCAGTCTGCTCTTATCAGACCCTAACCCCACATCATGACGTCACATGGCTATGGACATATAATGTAGCACGTATAAAATAGTTCCTATTCCGGTCTAGCTTGTCTTACAAGAGTGTTGTTCTGTAAGTACAAGAAGAGGCTGATTTTATTCACAAGGATTTTTTAAGTATATCAACACGTATTATGAAAATATAATATTATATTTAAGCATCCTGTTGCACTCTACACGATAAATGATACGAACTCCGTCTCAAGTACAAACAATATATATTATATGTCTTTGATCTTGCTCTCTTCTACACTACATGTTTCGGCCTCTAACGGCCATCATCAGGTGTATACTCTCACGCTGCTGCCACACTGAACCCAGTCTAAAATTTAACATTTAAAAAACACATTGTTATATTCTTCGTTATTATCAACATCTACCTCGTTGATATCTGTCTGGTATGTAGATTATATTGCACACATCAAATTTTGATTTTCTTGTAGTAGCACTATAAAATCTTTAATTATAATTTTAAAATCCTTTAAAATTTCTCTAAATTTTAAATTTAAAATTTAAAATTGTTAGGGTTACTCGCCCTATGTCTAAGTGCTGGAGCGGCTAGTTCTTGTTTCCACACTGTACAGATGTTATTCTGTGTAGTCTTCCTGTGTGCGTGCCGCTGCTTGTCTTTACTACGTGCGCCAGCAGCGACACGCAGTATATGTAATATTTTGTATATGTAATATACAAAATTACCGATGCAAATTCTGTCATCTTTCTCAAGTTAAATATTTTTCTTGAGGTTCCATTCTCATAAATCTGTGATTTGTGCCTTTCCCTTGTGTTTTGCAAAAATATATATTTGCTAGGAAGTTTATATTACGTCTTTTGTTATATTTAATAATCCAGATGCTGGAGACGCAATTCCATTACACTTACCCCGAAGCTCCGGTTCCTCTGCTTTGTTCCCCCAATTGCATTATACAGTTGTGTGATATTTCGGCCTTGGATCTCATGAGGCAGCACTCAGCTCAGTTCGATGCTGTGTGCCCCAAGTCTCATCTGAAACATGTAACATTAAAGTTTCGTGAGCGTCTTGTTCCTTTTGAGAGCCTCATGCCGAATCTACAGCAGATGCAATGTTGAAAGAGACAGGCGAATTTTGAAATTTGACAGAGCGAACATTAGGTTCCTGTATTGCAGGGGAAGGATGTATGGTTCTATATTTTCTGAAAGTAACTTATACTCTCTGCATTATAACAGAAGGTCTACGGCAAACACCACATTTTCATAGCTACCCCAACTGCTCGTTCGGACCTACTTGATCTGATTTTCTGGAATCAAATATTCGCTGAAGGCGTATTCATGTTCTTCAGCAGTGGGTTACGTTGGAGAACTCGAGGAGGGTGATAAAGGTAGGCCATGCAGAGCGCGCAGAGGAAATGTAGAAACCCATGAACCTATAAAATTGCAGTCGGAAAACCTGAAGGAAGAAACCACCTGGAAAACAAGAAAAGGAAAAGAACAATGCCATCTTCTGGAGAGTGGCGCCGTGTAGATCTTGTATGAACTGACGTTTCGGAGGAGTGAGGAATCAGCGTGAGCAGATGACAGCCAGCTACTCACGTTGGCTCCTCGCTTGTGGATTTTTCTACGCTGAAGATGGAGGTTATACGTTCCTCCGAAACGTCGATTCACACATCTACACGGCCCCACATCCTAGGAGACGGCATTCTTCATAGTCACCAATGTGAATACCTCAAATTTTTGGAAGAAAAAAAAAATTGAAATCGGCCATACAGAAATGAGGCTGTGAGCTGGATTCTTGCGGTCAAGTATCGGGTTCTTTTGAATGAAGCACTGAGCCTTCTGGGTCCACAGGAGCTGGGCGGTATCATCTTCGAAAGGGCTTCAAGTTCATTCGTCTTCGGGTTGCGGTTTCTCACACACACGGTCCTTCCGCTCCTATGTCTTAACTCTTAACTCACTTCGACGGACCGGGAAACCGATCCCCTTCCCTCCCTTCCCCCCCTCCCCTGCTCCTTTAGGAATTTATGCATACACCGGTGAGAAGAGGATAATTTAGCACAAGCACAGAAAGTCTTGACAGGTCTTGAGAAGCGTCCTCGGTTTACTCCTGTCCTCGTTGCTCAGCGATTAGCACGTAAATCGTTTTTTTATTTCTAGTGGGGTAGGACTAAGTCCCTTGTACTGCGGCCACTTCTGGTCTATTGTACCAGCCCCAGATGATAGGTGAGGGTGATCGTGGAGCAGTTGGTGGAATGAAGATTGGCAGGGGAAACCGAAGTACTCGGAGATAATCTGCCAAAGAGCCACTTTGTCCACCACAAATCCCACTTGACCAGACCCCGGGATAGAACCAGGGCCGCCGCGGTGGGAAACCAGCGACTAACCGCTTGAGCTACGGCGCTGCCTTAAATCGGGGATTACCTCTGTGATGATTAGAAAAATCATCTGTTCATTCTAGTCTTGAGTCGAGGGCTCAAATTGTTATAATGATTACTGCATTCTGGTCCATGCTCACACTTAAACATGTTACTGTTTTTATCTGGTGACAGATGATTTTGTTTTGTAGAATCCAAAGAATCTTCACGAAATCTCGTCATCAGATCCTATCTAGAAATATTTTAATCATTTCCATATATTGAAGCTCCTTTAATCTGAATCCACATTAATATTATGGGGGTGAGGGAGCGCTACGTTACCGCCACGTGCCGCTGGGGAGGTAGGGGTCCTCTGTTGCGCAACATGTCACAATATTATCATATTATTTACGATTACGATTATATGATCTAAACAACTACTGTTATAGTTAAGCACATTTATGTTTCAGGTAAACATCAAAGGAAATAAATTGCTGCTTTCATGGCATATAATGAGGAAATAAATAAAACGAAATAATTCTGTCCTAAGTTATTCAACCATCAGAGAAGGAAAATAGTCATTCCAAGTCAAGGCACTGACATAACCAGAGAGAAACCTTAAGATCTAAGAGAATTGATAGGATATCATGCACAGAATGAAATTGAGAAAGTTTTACAGTTCCTTGAATACAAATGTCAAATGAGATTTCGACAACTGTATCCTCACCATGTAATCACACTTTGCTTCCTTTGTTAGAAATAGGAAGGGTTTGTCAATACCACTGATCTGAATTTCAGGTAATTTATTCTCTTTCCGTGACTCAGAGTCTGTATTATGCCCTTTTACATAATCAGGGGGAGAGCGATGTTCCCTAGTGCCCCGAGTCACGCTACAGCAGGATTAAATTGTGTGTAATGAAGAGAAGTATAAAGCAGGGTGTTTCAAAGGATATTTCTTTATTATTCATTATGAAGAGGTTATAGTTCAAGATTTCCTGTAATTAGCGAGGGACCCTAGTTAAGGATGCAGGTCTCAACAATCTGCAGGAGCTGCAAACTATTCTTCAGTGCAACTGATTAATTGAGTCGACAGCCTCGCTTGCAACTTCAGTACGAGTTATCGGAAATGGCATTCTATAAATTAAGATGGTATAAATTGTACCTTTGGTATTGGAAAATTGATCGAGGACTCTTTCAGAATATGGAAAGTTCCTACCACAGAGGAAATGTAATCCATGGAAATCTGCTTGAGTCGAAATGACGAAGATAATATATTCCAACGTAATATTTTTGTGGAATTGATCAAGGGGCAGGACAGAAAAAAAGCAAACTGTCTCATTCAATCGACTATGAAATTGAAAAGAAAACGGTGCTGATGTTTGCTTGATATACTAACGTTAGAAGCGTTTCCTGGCGCTTTCTTTCAACATCACGAAGTTCTAGAAAGAATGGGATTGTTAGGGGGGGGGCGGAAAGACAATTGGAATGAGATTTTCACAAAGTTGGCATGGCGCGGCCATCCTTCTTTATTGGAAAGTGGCGCGGGCCAATTTAATTGCTCGGCGCTGCGAAGAGATTGAAGCCCGATTGAGATGGGTTTCGGTTGAAGAGCGGAGGTGGGCGTGTGCCGGAAACCTCATGAAATCGCGTTGAGGATCAAGTGGCTTCAGATACAACTGAATCTTTCCTTCTCTATAACCAGACCCGCATCAAGAACCTCCCAATAATAAGAATAATTTAGAAGTGAGGTCCATGTAGATAAGGTTTCGGGAATTTTGCTGCTAAGGGTAAAATTCTGGCTGAATTGTTTTAGTTAACGTAAATATACTGTGTCAGTCACAAAGGAAGGACACAACACAGGGCACAATATACACAAGAATATAGGAAGAGTACTCCTATAGGAGAGGATTCACGTAACTCGCGAATTTGAAATGCTAAGTATAGATGATAAATCTTATTATTATTATTATACATGACATATATACATCTTAATCATTTTATAAAGGAGACATGATGGCATACAGTACAATGGTTTGACGTAAATAATCAAACACACCTGAAGATGGCACATTGATACCGAAACACGTAATGAGGAGAAAGGTGAAATTGTGTGCACTGTAAAACGGTTGGTACAAATACACATCATGGGCGTGAATCAGTGCAACAGGACGCTAAAATATAACATTATACTGTGTGACATGAGCATGATATTTGTAATATATCATTTTATTTGTAGGCCTGTGGAACTATGGAGGTTATAATTAGTATGATAATAGATAGAGTAGTGGGGTTTGTTCTGATAGTAAAAGTTTTTGTGAATTGTCTACATTTTCATTTCATATTTTCGCCTTTCCCGCTACATTTGGCTACCTAGTATCAGGGGCTTACAACTGAAAACTTATAGGTGACGTGAAAGGAAGCAGCCATAGCCTAGTTCAAGGTAATATCCCAGAATGCGCTAGCAGGTACTTAGGAAAATCATGAAACACTTCAGAAGGAGAGCTGATGTCCAGGGAGTTTCCGTGCAACTGACCGCTCAGTCCCAGTTTTCTATATTTATGACGGAGCCGGATAATGATAAGTGATGGTGATAAAATAATTATCATTACGTTAGGATGAATAACAGCAAAATGAAATATTAATACAGTAGTACCGTTACTGGTGATCACAGTGGCCGCGCGGTCTAAGGCAGGAACTGTCTTCGCCCGCTTGAACGCTGGGATCGTGGGTTCGAATACCACTCAGGACATGGCTGTGTGCGTTCATTCTTTGTGTGTGTTGTCCTGTGTGTAGTTCGCGGTCTTGCGACGGGTTGATCGCTCGTGCAAGGAGTCCTACAGTCTGCGTAATAAAAATTACTAAACTGAAGAAGAGGCCAGGGCCCAACAAAGGGCTGTACGGTAGTGGCCTCCGTAGTCTAGAGGTAACGTTCCCGCCCCATGACTTGTGGTACGCGGGTTCAAATCCGGCGGAGGTCGTGGAATTTTTAAGGGCGGAAAAATTCAGGGAACAAGTCCTCCGGGAGGGACTTTAAGCTGTGTGTCCCGTGTCGTAACTTTACGGCACTTAAAAGAACCTCATATCTCCAAAGGAGGTCACTGAGCCAAATTCCAGAACGTTTCCCGCCCAGCAATAGTCTCTAAGGCCTCTGATAGATGGGGGAAGCATTATAGACACCACTAAGTAAGTGACCGAACTCGCTTGCTCGGCGGGACTGATGGTACGCACCATTTATCGGTAGGGTAAAGAGACTGGTAGAGTATCATAGAGGGAAGCACAATAGATCAAACTGGTCGCGGTGCATGGGGAAACCCACCCTCTCTAAATAACTAACTAACTAACTAACTAAGGGCTGTACGGTCATTGATGAATGAAAGTATAGGTCAAACGGAATACATGCTGTATATCATTACACCGTTGTTAAACTTCCAGTCAATAACATAAATAAGTCTTCTAAGGTCGTACCGTTTTGGAGATTGTTTCCTAAGTCATTATCTATTGATATATATATATATATACACGTAGAACTTCCTTATCAGGTCTCGGCAGTCCAGCAGTTGGCCAAAGTCAGGCAGCCAACTTTTCCACTAAGAACCACGTTCAGAGCAATGTAACGGTGATACTGCCATCACTTAACATAGGACGGCGGGCCGTTTCATAGCTCAGACGGTTAGTCGC